CCCCGGAGGTGGAGCTGGGGGTGCGATGTATGTTGACCTATCTTCTACTCCAAAGAGTAGAGTGGTTGTTTCCATGAAGACCTCCGACTTGTGAAAAGTGTTTTGAGAGAAAGAAAGGTTGCTTAAAGAGTAGCTCAGATAAAACTACGTCAACGACCATAAAACTCAAGTAATATATATAAGATCATGTTTAGGGAAAAACTGCAAAAAAATGCAAAATTGAGGAATACTATGGTAACCATTCATCTGGAATTTGTTCGGTACTCACATGTGCATAACATGCACAAGTGCATAGAAACCAAGAAACAACTTCAATTATTTGTATATACATGTGCATACCGCCCAGATAAATGCAGGGTGTTCCTCAATTTTTTATTTTTTGGGGGTTTTCCTTGAATCTCCCTCTCTCTCTCTCTCTCTCTCTCTCTCTCTATATATATATATATATATATATGATTCATAAAGCAAGAGCAAAAGGGAAAAAAAGGAAAGAACCCAAAGTCAAGCAACTTACCCTAGATATGCCTTAGTGAGGTACTTGAGAGAGTGGCTGGCAAAATTAGTTTTCATTAGTGGAGGATATGTTGCAGTATCCCTAAAAAGAGAGAAAAGCAGTTGTTAAACTGAAAGATGCAGAACCTGTAAGCAATATATGTTCACCTCAATCAATACAACATGTTGAATAAAGCAAAAAAGTTAAGAAAAATTGCAGTTTTCAATCTATTTCTGACATTAAGGTGTGGGAAAAAATATTTAGTGTAACAAATAACTTTTTTTCCTCCATCGATGTAATAAAGTTTCAAATTTTCCTATTTTATACCCATTTTAACCGATAACCTGCTGATCTTGTAACATTTGATGACGTTGATACCCATTTATGAATGATTTTTGAAATGTTTACAGAAGAGTTACAGGGGTGGATGATAAACTTGACATCCACATCATCAAATACTACAAGATCAGCATAAACTTGACATCCACATCATCAAATACTACAAGATCAGCGGGTTACCCGTTAAAATGGGTAAAATTAGGATATATGAAACTTTGTTATGTTGAATAAGATCTTTTGGAATTTTGTTACATTAAATAGGATATTTTAGAACTTCTGTTACATTGATTGAGAAAAAGAATCGTTACACTAAATAGGAACTAAGGGGCCGTTTACCCATATGCTTACCCGATAAGTGCTTACCAGTAATAGTCAAACACTCACTTACCTTACCGAGTAAGATTCTAATCCATTAAAACGGCATCTTATACAACAATTTATCCAGTTAGCCTTTCTGGGTAAGAGTCGTCACATTCACTTACCGGGTAAGACTCTCAGCCCTTACCATTGCTCTTACCAAGTAAGATTCGCGGTCATTGCAATATTCATCTGGTAAGGTAAAATGACATAATAAGCATTTACCAGGTAAGCATTTTGGAAACGGCCCCTAATTGCAGGACTGGTTTTTGTCAGTCGTTGTAGAACTAACTTTAAATTCGGAAACTAAAGAACGGACCTTAACAATTGGTCAGGGTAACTCATCAACAAGCAATCCAATTTGCTATCGAGGTTATGACCCACAAGAAGATTAGCCTTTCCACCATCCAACCGTGCTTTTCCTATTGATTCTCCATTGTATAAAATTTGAGAAATCTTTTCTCGCACTTCCCTTAGGGGCATAGCATCTCTTAAGTGCTCCTCTGTTAAGCCAGTTAGTTCATATCTGAAGCAGAGTTCATGCAGCATCAGTGATATGAAATGAAGCAGAGTTCATGCAGCATCAGTGATATGAACCTGTTCGCCAGTCGGGGTATTTTTGGTACATAACAGGACAGAACAAAAACTTCTTGTTTCAAGTTTGATGCAGCATTTAGACTGAGCTTAATAAGACTCACAGTTTATTCGATCAGCTATACATGACTGTTTGGTACTTTGTACCGGTAGTGACTTAATAATATAGAAAGTGACTTATTCAGTAAGCTTTTAGAGGGGAGCTTTATGCAGAAAGTCAAGTTTTTTCCATACCTGCCCCTCCCAATTAAAACACACGCTCCTTCCATCTATGAAAAAACCCTCCCAAACAAAAACCTTCCCAATCTAGATAGAATTATCAACACAGACTGCTTTGTTCATACAGGACTTAATGGAAAACCAACCACACTTGGATAGGACAAAGTGGGAATAGGTGGAAAAAAGATCATGGAGATGGGACCGGATGGATGAGAGTGAGGTAGGTGGGTCAAAGAATTGTGGAAGAGTTTAGAGTTTTAATTTGACAAGGGTAGTTTAGTAATTTACCCATCATGTTCCATCTCTCATATATTTGTTCCACTTATTTTGGCGGGACACAAATACCTTTTTTGCCACTCAGGTCCTGTCCTATCCTGGTCTAATGTTGCGCCAAATGTGGGACTGTAAGTTTTTGTACTGTCTTGTCCCGTCCTATCTCGCATACGAAACGCATGGAAGATTCTAGAAGAAAAAACACAAAATGCAGCATAAAAGTACCTATAATCAGTCACGGATATCTGAGGTTCCACATAGGTGTGAAATATCATCTTCTCTTCTTCATCGACAAGGCAAACACGAGCTAATAAGTCAAGTGATCCATCACTACCGCACCCAACCATTTGGCAATCGATGGCAACTGCTTCACGACATTTATGAACGTAGTTTTCATTTTCTAACACTTCATACTCGTTATATGGAATATGTGTTGTTCCCTGCAACAAATTAACAAAAATGTATAGGAACGTATGATGTATCTTATATCACTACAACAAAATTGGCTTTATAGGACGCCTAGTTTGTCTGAGCATGAATTTTCATTCCCTCCAATTTAACCAAGAATGAAAATTTGGGCTTCTGGGGAATGAGCTCATAAAATTATATAAAACCAAATAGTTTATTTTATTTTCATTCCCATTAATTACTGCTTAATACCTCTAACGAAACACCCACCAAGCATCTTAATATAATACTTGGAAGAACTTAGGTTTATAGGACCAAACTACAAAGTGTCCTATCTAATAGCGTTACCGTAGGTTTATAGGACACTTTTAGGCGTTCTAACACGTTTTTTAAGACGCTTTTAAATAAAGTGTCTTATTAGCTATTTTATAGGATAATTTTGAGAAGTGTCCTATAAACCCATCTTTTTAGGGCACTTTTTAATGTAGTGTTGTATAAAATAGTTAATACGACATTTTATTTTAAAATTGTCCTGAAAACTTGTTAACACGCCTAAAAGCGTCCTACAAACCTGTTGTAACACTTTTAGATACGGCGTTTTTTGGTTTGGTCCTATAAAGTACTTTTTTAGGACTTCTACATTTTAGACGTCCTATAAGATCAATTTTGTTGTAGCCTTAAGTGTATAACATTAGTAACTTCTTGACAATTAAGCACGTTAGTAGCAATTCTGAATCTGCGTCAACTTACAAGGGGAGTAGGGGCGGTTAGAAGACATAACTCTTTATGTTCACCAAGAGAAACAGGGCTCAAAAAAACATTCAGACAAATGTGGCAGCCATTTTGAGCAAATACACTTGAACAATGAGCTTTAGCTAATGGGCCTACATGATTCATAAAGAAAAATTAACAACCACGCTTTAACGCATAAATTACGTAAAGTAAAACAAACAAAACATGTCCCACTCAAAAGTAGAGTCCGGGAGGGTGAGATGTATGCATACTTGTTCTCTACCCCAAATAGTATAATGGCTGTTTTTGTTAAAGACCCCGGCTTGAGAAAAAGTGTTTGCAAAAAGGCGGAACGAATTGCGTTAGGGTGCGTTTGGTACGTTGGGCAAGACGGAACAGGAAAAATAAAACTTGTTGTCCCACGTTTGGCACAACAATTAGACTGAAACACGACAGGATTTGGTGGAGAAAAAAATGCATTTATTTTTGTCCCACCAAAATATGTGGAACAAAAATCAGGGAATGAGATGGGATAGGTAAATAACTAAACTACCCATTTCAAATTAAGACCTTCCACAATTGTTTCACCGGTCTACCTCGTTCTCGCCAGTCCAATCCGGTCCGCATACCAAACGCACCCTTAAGTATCAAATGATATCACACCTGATATATGCTCCCTTAGTGATTCAAATGATTTGCAATATTTTTTACAAACACCGCATTTAGGCTGATGCACCGAGTGACGGGAGACCTTCATGTGTGCAACAAGGTGCTCTTTTCTTTTAAACTGCTGGAAACAAGCTGCACATTTATGCCTGAAGACAGCATCCATTAAGATAACCATCATACAGAACTCAAAAGACAAATATATTAGATTTGGCATAAGTTAATATGGTGTGGACTGCATTTTTCACAAGATAAATGTAGCTGTTTGCAAAAAAGAAACTTTATAACACTCTCGTATGCTTGTTACGTCCTGAAATATAGAGAGATCATCAATTGGTGTTAGCCCTGTGGATGTATCTACAGGCTGTGATTAGTTGCCCTTCTCACACAACAACTATCTATTACTCCCTTCGTCCCAAAATATCAAGTGTCCACATTTGTCCCAAAATTAATGTTCACTTTCAAAAGTTAGTAACTACTTTCCAATTCTACCCTTAATTATGAGCTATGCTGTTATATCGGTCAGAATACGAAATATCGGTCAGGACCGATATTCGATATATCGGTTATATCGGTGATATATCGGTCCAAAATAGCGGTTAACATAATATTTCTTAGAATTATATATATAATATGCATTAATTAGAGTTTAGAAATATAGTTTCAAAATTAAAACATCACATCATCTAAAGTGTTCAAAAACGAGCTAATATAAAAGAAAGAAGAAGACCGTTGTGGAGGCAGATCAATTTCAGACCTAATTTAAGTTAACAAGTCCAAAAAACTAGGCCCATGAAGTAACAAAAGCCCAAATATTTAAACCCTAAAAAATCAATATATCGGTCCGATATTTGCATCAAAATATCGCTAAAATTTGAGGAAAATGGGAAAATATCGCCGATGATATCGGGGACGATATTTTGACCGATATTTATGGACCGATATTTTCTCTAGGAGTGATATCCGATATATCGCCGATATATCGCGATATTAACAGCATAGATTATGAGATGGGGAAATTCATTATTTCCTTTATTATTAAGAGTGAAATTGTCATTTAGTTAATTGAGGGATTGTTTGGTCCCCCCCCCCCCAAAAGTTTAATCTAGAATGAAATTTTGGGCTTTTGCTTAATACCTCTAACCAGACACCCCCTAAAAAGTATAATAATTACACATTTCTAAAATTGTGCCTTTTTCATTGTGGGCATTTACTTTCGGACGGAGGGAGTACTAGTCAAAGAAGAAAAGAACACAAGCCACCAAAAAAAGTGAGATATAACACACACCAATTCAAAAATAGATGACTAGGAAGAAGATTTAGAGATATCTAATCAACAAAGAGATTAGTCTAAATTTCCATCGATACGTGCAGGAAATATAAGGCACAAACTGCAACAAATCATGCTTAAGGTACCAAATAAACTTTTTAGCTGTTTAATACTCACGATGTTGACCATCATCAGCCAATTGAAGGAGATGACATCGGATACAGAAAGTAATAAATTTAGCATACATACTTGATACTTGATCACCAAGCTTTGCCCCCAAAGAAAAGATACACAGAAAGTAATAAATTTAGCATAAAAAAGGTAAGCGGAAGGAAAATGATGTCTCATGTGTAACATAGCAAAAGATCTCTTTTAGAACATTCCCAGAAATTTTATGTGCACTCTTTCTCAGTATGTGTTTTTGCTTTTTATTCCTCAAACCTCCTATGTTGATAAAGAAAATGTACCACAAGGTGAACACCATCCTATCCTACATGTAGAACAAACTTAGGAAGCTTAGGGGTTGTTCGTTTGCAGCTTCATGGGATTTATAAGCCTTATAGTTTATTCTGCTTTAGGGAATTTTGTAAGGTATGTAAAACACAGAAAGCTAACATGTTCCTTTTAGAAAAACTAGTAACGCAAATAAAAAGAGATGTGAAAAAGAATCCCTGAACCGCAATAGATAAAAGCAACACAAAGGGAATAACACGGTGATTCTTAGTTTTATCTTTTACCATATGAGTCCAACATAAAAGGTAAAACAGAGAGTAATCATGGACGAACAACTACACCGAGTAGCTTCACAACAAGAAAATTAATAATCCTACACATTAAACAAAGGTCAGGCCTTGGGGCATCTCCCATAGGTCGCCAATGAGTCTACCCAAGGGCGCTCATGGTATTAATCGAGGTGCACACAGGTTGGTTCAGACATCCACGGTTACCAGAAAAGCCAATTTGCATTGTTACAAATTTAGATGCAATTTAGATACAAACTCCATGGCCCCCATCACACATACACCTCCAAGCACAAAATACTCCAATTAGTATAACCTGTGATGATTATTGTGCAGGTGTAACATAGAGGATCTTTGACAAAAACCTTGAAGATTTAATGGTATTAAGCACATTAAATAATCCTTCTCCAATACTCGATATATTTGTGAAAACTTGGGGAATGACAGGTAATATATATATATATATATATATATATATGTTAGAAGAAAAATCAAGAAACAGAGACCAAAATTCGATGGCTTTTTATTGCTGCAAAGAGGGCCTTTAAATAGCCACAGCTACAACTAAAGCAAGCTAAAAAACAGGAGAATCAAAAACAGAAAAGGAGAACTTCTAAGCTCCTAAAGAATAGGATTATTCAACAAACAGAAAAGACCAAGTAAAAGTACGTGCACTGCACTTTTACTTCTTCACACCCTCCCTTAAACTAGACTGAGGTTCCTCAACTAGTTTACTCTTGATTGAACATACTCCAAGCTTTTCTCTCAACTTCTCAAAAACTTCACGACTCAGAGGCTTGGTGAGAATGTCCGCAACTTGCTCTTGTGTTCCACAATGTTCCAATTGAACAACTTCATCCTTAACTAAGTCACGCAAGAAATGAAAACGAACTCTTATGTGCTTGCACCTTCCATGAAACACCGGATTTTTTGATAGCTTAATGGTGGAGGTGTTGTCACAATTTATGATTGTACTTCTGCTATTCTTCAGTCCTAGTTCTTCAAGTACTCCTCTGACCCAAATGACTTGACAAGCACATGTTGCAGCTGCAACATACTCCGCTTCGGTGGTCGAGAGAGTCACGATGTCTTGCTTCTTTGATGACCACGCTATTGCCCCATTGTCCCATAAGAACACATAACCAGAGGTGCTCTTGCTATGTTGCTGTCCCCTGCAAAGTCGCTATCTGTGAACACTTCCAGCTTTCCTTCTCCTCCATATTTGTACCAAATGCCAAAATCAAGTGTGCCCTTTAAATACCGTAGCACTCTTTTTGCTGCCAAGTGATGCAATTTGGTGGGTTTGGCCGTAAACCGACTTATTAAACTTACCACAAACTGTATGTCGGGTCGAGTAGTGGTGATGTACATGAGACTCCCAATAATTTGTTTAAAGGCAGTCTCATTGATTCTTTCTCCTTCTTCATCAGTGCTTAACTTGCAGCCTGGAACAATCGGGTTTACGACCACATTGCAATCTTCCATCTCGAACCTCCTTAAAATCTCAACTGCATACCTCTGCTGTGAGATATGTATTCCCTGTGTGGTCTGCATTACTTCAATACCWAGAAAGAACCTCATTTTTCCTAGGTCGGTCATCTCGAACTCCCTTTGCATCGACGTTTTAAACTCTTGCATCATTGTGGCATCATCACCTGTATATATAAGGTCATCCACATATATACTTACAATTAAAATGTTACCATGCATATTTTCTTTTATGAACAATGTCTGCTCGTTTTGACTTTTCTTGAATCCTTCTTTGATGAAGTAAGTCTCGATACGATTAAACCAAGCTCTCGGAGCTTGTTTTAAACCGTATAAGGCCTTGTGAAGCTTGTAGACCTTGTGTTCACTTCCCGTGACTTCATATCCTTGAGGTTGCTGTATGTATACATCCTCCTKCAGTTCACCATACAAGAAAGCGGACTTTACGTCCATTTGGAAAATTGTCCATCCCCTTTGTGCTGCCAACGCGATCACCATTCTTATCGTATCCATTCTAGCGACGGGAGCATAAACCTCCACGTAATCCACTCCGTGCTCTTGAGAATAGCCTTTGGCTACTAACCGGGCCTTGTATTTATTGACTTCTCCATGCTCATTAAGCTTCGTCTTGTATATCCATTTAACACCAATGCACTTGGTGTTATTTGGTAGCACAACTAGATCCCACGTGTGGTTCCTCTCTATAGCTTCTATTTCGGCATCCATAGCAACTCTCCATTTTTTGTTTTTAATAGCTTCTTCGTAGGTTACTGGATCATGGTGATTCATTTCCACCATATTCAGCTCATCTTCTTCGAGGGGCTCGTTACCGGTGACGTAATCACTAAGATAACGTGGGGTTCTCCTTTGCCGACCCTCCCTCGCTCCTGTATTGTTGGCTCCAGCAGCTCTCGTTTCTTCATTCTCGCCATGGTTGTCTTCATCATGAACGTCTTCGTCGTCTACATAGTCTTCTTCCCATTCACCATCACTCCATGTCAGCTCAGTTTCCATTTTTTTACCTTGATTGGTTCCCCAATCCCATAGCTTTCCTTCTTCAAAGATGACATCTTTACTTGTAGTAATCTTCTTTGTTTGAGGATTGTAGAGTCTGTAGCCTTTTGATTCTTCACTTAAGCCTACCAATATGCAAGTGACACTTTTATCATCAAGCTTACCTCGTTTCTGATCAGATACGTGAACATGGGCAAGGCATCCCCATACTCTAAAATGCTCCACAGTAGGTTTGGTACCACACCATGCTTCTTGAGGTGTACATCCTTTAGTGCTTTAGTAGGACATCTATTGAGAACGTAAAAAGTCCAGACCACAGCCTCCGTCCAGAAAACTCTCGGCATCTTTTTGGCAGCCAACATTGTTCTCACCATGTTCATCACCGTTCGGTTTTTTCGCTCTGCAACGCCATTCTGCTGGGGCGTATATGCGGCAGTTAATTGCCTAATTATTCCATGCTCCGTACAAAATTTATTAAACAACTCCGATGTAAACTCTCCGCCTCTATCTGTCCGTAAAGCCTTGATCATCTTACCTGTCTCGGTTTCAACCCGGTTTTTGAAATTCTTGAAGCATACGAACGCTTCTGATTTCTCACCAAGCAAATAAGACCAAGCTTTTCGACTATAATCATCTATAAAGCATAAGACGTACCTTTTTCCGCTATTTGACGTTGGAGTGATCGGGCCACAAATATCAGAGTGTACTAACTC